ATATTCTTATCAATATTACTATTTAGAAGATTTTCCTCTTAAAATAAGAAACTCTTCTTGGCGCCTATTTTAGTATAAAATATACTTAAAGTAAGTGGGATATCCTCAAAACAAGAATACAATTTTTTCGGTGTAGCAATTTCAAACTTAATAAATATATGATAACAGATATGACAACAGATATATATTTAGCTTTTTTCAGACTTCAAATTAAAATATGTACATGTTGTATTGTTATTGTTAGAAAAACGAATTTATATATTGAAAAGTGACTACGTATTTATTTAAATAAAATAGCCACAAAATATAATGATAGATGTAGTTTTCTAAAAAAAAATCACCATCAAGGTTTTTCATACAAAGATAGTTTCATCTTTGAACATCTCTTATAAGTAATGAGTAATAATATTATAATTGTCTCTTTTTCTAGTCGTATTCTTTATTGCTGAAGGTTGTGTCCGTGATGAAATATACATACGATTACAATAACACGGTTTTAGTTTTGCACAGATGTTTGGTGTATGTAAATTGAGATTTAATTTGCAAAAAATTAACTTTATAATAGCAATAAATCTGCAAAAACAATTAATCCAGGAAAATGTTAATCAATTAAACGTGTTTCAATAGAAAACTAACAATAATAGTTTTAACCTTGTCTGGCAGAGATTAATTAAGCAAAACTGGCGATAAATCTTTTAAGATTTATGTTTACATCTCGTTTATCAAAAGTTCAACAGTGACCTTTTACATAATTCATTATGCATCTGTTTTTCCTTTACAACCGCACGAACTGTTTCATCACGGATTGTTCTACTAATTGTGTAAATATATATCTTTCCAAATACAAAAAATATTATACTTAGAAGCATAGTTTGCAAATTATCAAATGTTTGGATTTTTCGATCATAATTAATTAATTTATTTTTTTGACAAATTCTTACTTTTACTTTCTTAGACTTTTTGAATTTTTCTTTCTGTCTCTTTCGCATATAATTCTCTTATGCATTAGATTATAAACAGTTTTATTTTAAATCTGTAATGTTTTATATAAATCTTTGTATAAAAAATACATTTCTTTAATTTTCAATTGTTTTGAACTTGAAATATCTTTTGTCAAAAATCGTAATTTAAATTGTCAATTAAAATTTGTAATATTTTGCATTAGCATTTTTTGTAGCAAATATATAAAAAATATTTAACGTGTATTTATACAAAAGCTTCGTAAAAATCGTGGAAAAAGAAATAGTGCAAACGTGTAATTCAGTTTTGTGAAAGATTAATAGTCGGAATATTCGTATATTTTCTAAGGTTACCGACCCGAAGATCGGTTAATGGCCATCAAATTACTGGGTAAGGTATATGCACATATGTATAAGGCTGATAGTCGATAGCAATTCATTCACGTCAAACATGCAAGTATTAATACAATATAAACTATATATTGTTTGGTTTTCTAGAACTAAACACTTTTTAGCATTATTTTTTTATAACTAAGATATATTAAAGTATATATGTTAAATTAAAAAATACTAATATACACACACACAAATGTGTAATATGCCGAAACTACAAACTGTACAAACTGTATATCTTCAAATTACATTTAAAAAATTGCAAATTATCATTAAAGAAATATTAAATTTAAATTATAGCTAATTTTTTATTATATTAGTATATATATCGTTTTGTTAACTGTGCATTTTTACATTTATGTTAATGCTTATTAATGCTTAAACTTATCAAAGTCATATAGCATTCTAATAAGCAAAGTCTTTTGTCTCACTGTATTTATAGAACTCGTAATGGCATCGCGCGATAAGTCCGGCTAGTAAGTTAATGATATATGCGCACGTATGACTCGCGTGCTCTGTGATGGCGTTAACCGATTAACGGCAAACTTGTGCTGCTAGCAGTACACTCTTTCAAGCACAATTCTTTATTATTAACTTTCTATTAAAGACATTCACAATACGCTAATTCAAATTAAAAGTGTGTATTTTTTATAGAAAAATAGCATCTGATCGTAAGACTACTAGCTGTCAAAAAAAAAAGGGTAATTATAAAATGCACGTAAGAACATCTTTTTGTTCATGTATTCCAATAGAAAAAATTATGTGAAAATATTGCACGAAAATGACATCATAAATTAGCAGAATATAACTTTGAAAATAATATTTGTCAAAAATTAAAAAAGTTCAATTTAAAGTATAAGTAATTTATAATATTTTAATTATTTAATGCACACACACACACATAAAATTATACAATTCAATATTTGTGACGATGCAATATGCAGTAAAACCATTTTGCAATATATTTGCAATATTTTTGGACAAAAATATTTATATTCTAATTAATGTCATTTTTGTTACTTAATAATAGTGATGGATAATCTCACTTTTTTCACGATCTTGAAACTCTGGTTGAGACGTGATCAGAAAATGTTAATTAAATATTTGTAAATACTCGCACTACGAAAGGGGCTCGACAAGCATTATCAAAAGCTCAGTTTTTTTGCATGCATTTCATAGAAACTATTTTGATTCTTGATTTAAAATTTTGATGCATTAATATTTGCAATATTTTATGTTGCAATATTTCTACATAATTTATATATGAGTCATGGTGCATTTCTATAAGCATATACATGAATTAATTTAATTTCTTTATGTGCAGTTATATTTTTCTAAATGTTTTAAACACCACGTAGCTGAAATTTTTTTGTCAATTATTGAACAATTTCTTTCTAAATTTAATTTTGCAAATATACTGCTAAGATAATTCGCCATATCGTTATTGTTTTGCCGAAATAGTATTTGAAAATCAATTTTGAAAATAATTACAAATATCTTAAATAAGTGATAAATGAGGTGTGACCTCCGGCTCCTTTTGGTAACTCCAATAAATAGAATCAATTAGCAGGGCAATAATGAGTCATGGCAGGATGTTGTGCCGTAGAAAAAATTAAAAAATGTAATTGAGACGTTTCGACTTTATTTTTTAAGTTCTTATCAATCGTTAATCATAGAGTTGTTAATTTTTTCTACGGCACAACATCCTGCCATGGCTCATTATTGCTCTGCTGATTGATTCTATTTATCGGAGTTACAAATATTTTATAAAAAATCAATATTTTTACATCTATTTCTCAAAAAATATATTTATATAATTGTCAAAATCACAATTTTCACGCGAGATTTTGTCACGTAATTTCATAAATGGTTTTTTTTATTGAGATATTCATGTATTTTATAAAACGAAATACAGAACGTGGGAAACGACAACACGAAGCACACATTCATTTACAACATTCGCGCGACCCTTAACGGAACTTAACTCCAACGCTCTCAATTGGTGTTTGTTGAGTGACTAAAGAGTAAATCTTATATGAGCGTATGTATGTGTGTATGTACACGCGGTTTATGAACTCGCGATCGTTCGATAACAGAATGTCGGATATCGATTTTTGTTATTTCACACCAATAAAACCGGCAGCAACAACGAAACAGAAAGGAGCGTGAAGGTGTAACGCCACGCAAGTTTTAACAATATCGAGAAAGCTGTGCGTAACCACCGCGGGTGATTCAAAGAATCGATTTCGCGGCCGGTGTGTTTTGTGATAAACTCGATCGCAAAAAAATAATTCATAAGTTTGAAAAATTTGCGGTGCGTGAGAAACTTTTTTGCGCGGTGCGTGCTTTATATATAATATATTAATAAGCGTGTCACATTTGGTTTATTTTTTTTTTATTTTTTTTTTATTTTACCGGGTATGGTCTCTATATCTTGCAGGCCCATATTTGTGTGTACACCTTGCGCCGCGCACCTCGTAGCCGACTGAGCGTCGGGTAGTAGACACGCTCGCCTCGCCAATGCTTTCAAACCCGCTACGTATCCTAGCAACTAAAAATCAATTTCTAATCGAGTCGTTGTCGTTCTCAACAATGAGGAGAACAAGAAGGATCTCGGCCACAACGCAGTGTTTTAGCGGCACTAAAAAACGACCGAGTTTCACCCATCTGCTAATTAACAGATCTTTTTTTTTTTTTTTTCAAGTTGTTACAAAACTTCAAGTTGTTAACAAAAATTAGACGCAATAATAATTCGACGTCATTTTATATAACATATACTGTACTTTTATTTAAAAATAGTTTAAGAATAATTTACTGTATAAAATAAAATAAATGTTTAGAGAAAGAAAATTTCAAATAGTATTTTATAATTTTAATATAATTTATAAAATTTTATTAATTCTGTATGTATTTTTCTCCTGAAATTATTTTCCAAAATAATTTAATTTATACATGTAAATATTATATCTGATGTATAGGCAACGCTAATGTCATATGGCGCTCCTTGACTATATATAATTACAAACTGTGCCGAATATTCTCAAAATCGTTGTGTAATGAAGATTAACAGCGCCTTTGTCATCTAAATATCACAAGCCTTAGGCTGCCTTTACATGCTGCGTAACTTTTGTAAGTGTAACTTCCGTTAGCCAATCATATCGTCTCAGCGTCTTTGCAAGATTAACATACTGTACGATTGACCACGGTACGATCAGAGAGAAGCCTGAGAGCGGCCATGTCCATAAGAGAATGTGTAATCACTTTTCCGCCCCGTAAACTAGCCCATGTCCACGAGTGGTACACAGTTGGAACTACGCAGCCAGTCCACGAGCGAAATGTCGATGCGCTATGTCCACAGCGTGCGGTTCTATTCTGTGCTATGTGCACGAGTTTAAATGGTCATCTTCTTCAGATGTGCGAAAGCACTCGCAAACGTGGATTTGATTTACTTTGGAATTATTTAAATGATCGGTCTTGTGATCAGAAGATGAGGAAAGAGAACAGAAAAAGATAAGAAAAAATATTGCAACTTTCCACACAACATAAATGTGATATTCAAGAAAAGATGTAACAGAAAAAGAATATTATTTTAGCGAGCAGCATCAGAATTCATGGAGTGTATAGTCAGATGTCATCTAATTTTACATCATCATTTGCTGCTCTTTGCTTTATAAATTTTTATAAATTTTATTTTATTTTCTTAAAACTACTATATATATATATATATACGTATAGATATCAAATACACAAAAAAAAAAACATGTATATTATACAAAGTTTTAACGGTACACAAATATATATATCTGAAAAGTTGCAATTCCAAGAAGGATACTTTTTACTCTGCTTTATCACACTTCTTTATCAGTGTTTTCAATTACCAAGTTTCATTTTACAATTTTTTATACATATACAATAAAATACAATAAAATACAATAATATACATATATTACATATAACATACAATAGAATACAATATTATGCAATATAATACATAGAATATATAATTCTACCTACCTACCTATCTTAAACATCTGACATATCTTAAACGTTACTAGCCTTATTAATTAGGATTAAGGCTGCATGGCAGCCTTGATCCTAATTTTACATTTTTATTTTTCCTCCTACTTATCCGGTCGACAATATTTCCTGCCTATCTGGTCTCTTACATATTTCCTACCTACCTATCCGGCCTAATTTATTACCTATTTACTTTGAAAAGTTTTCAAACCTATCAAATAATTTACGCGAGGGGCAGTTGTTTAAAAATTAAAAAGTATTATTTTAAATATATTTTAGTTTCACGTCCGAATTTTGTATTAGATTTTATGATTTAAAGCGCAGAATATACCCACCCGACAAAGTCCACCATGTATAATTAGAAGAGATAGAATATGAAAAAAGAAAAAATACATATTTAAAAATATATATCTATCGAATATAAATTTAAATATATATTTTTGCAAAAATAAAATAGAAAATAATAAAAAGGCAGAGAATCGATATAAAGAGAACATAAGTCTTCAAAAAAAAATTCTATATCGGTTCTTTAAGAGAAATTGATATAGAAATATAAAAGTAGATGTAGAAAAAAAATATAAAGAATATAAGTCTTTAAAGAAAGATTCTATATCAGTACTTTAAGAGAAATTGATATAGAAGTATAAAAGAACATAAGTCTCTAAAAAAAAATTCTATATCGGTTCTTTCAGAGAAATTGATATAGAAATATGAAAGTGGATGTAAAACATATAGATGAATAAATATATAAAAAAATAAAAAACTTTAAAAAGAGCACATATATAGAAAAAATATTACAATATTGTTGTAANTCACACAATATACAAATATATAGAAATTTTATCAAAAAAGATATATATTGAAAAATCAGTGCGATTACTATACATGCAGAATAATTTATTCTTCTCAAAAATTTTTATCATACAGATACAAGTGATAATAGATTATTTACTTCTAAATCGTTATTTTTTCGGAAAACAATCCTTTAGATATGTTCAAATTCTATATTTAAGCATACATAATAATTTTGTATGAGATTAAGAAGGTCTCATATATGATTGTATTTAATTAAACATCATCAGATATAAAATTAGTTCATATATAAAGGATTTTCTTTCTAATATATTATAAAAGATTTAGAATAATTTAACTTACTATATTAAAAATTTCTTAGTCATATAACTGTATATAAAATCTGTAATTTGCTCTTGTTTAAAGTATAATAAAAATTTAAAGATAATGTAATGTACAAAAAAGAAATCTTTCTAAAAGTGAGTTGCTTCTTATGTGAGAAGAATAAATTATTTAAAAAAATACAACGTACCGTTGCGCGTATAGTCCCTCGCCGTCCATCGATGTATCTTCAACTCCAGTCCCACGTAGCAATCAGGAACCTACCTTTACTGTCCCACGATGCGA